AGTATCTCATAAAATCACTGCAAAAACTGAGAATGAGGGAATTCTGGACAAGACCTGCTCTGCAGTGTCACTGGCAAGTTCTTCTGAGCCAAGTGTTACAGGAAAACATGGAGAGACCAGGTTAAGGACAGACCACAAAATACCATTAGAAAAGGAAAGAGTGCCCAGAGAATCTGGAATTCAGACTAAGGAGCCACAACAACGTCAAGAACTTTCTTCCCAGAAGTTTTTAAAGACTTCATCCACAAATGACAATTCAAAGTTATTCCTTCTTGGGTAAGAATTGCCTTTTTTAACTCTTACTTGCACAGACAATCTCTTTGCTGATATAAAACCAAGTGTTTTGGAATTGGGGTGTTTCATTGCCTTAACAAATACATTGTTCTCTTTTCATCTAGTTCTGTTTCCATTCTAGGGAGCAGCCCTCAAAGCTGGATGTTGATGTCTTAGCAGCTCTAGAAGGAGCAGAGACTGATCCCCAGAAATTCCCAATGATTTACAAATGGAAACACGCAGTGCAAGCCTACTCCTCATCTGACAGGCAAAGGTATCTGACAGGCAAAGACTGCAAACTCAGTCACAGGAGCTGAAGTGCATTTTTAGCGGGTCAGCTTGAATAGCAGAATTTCAGGCCTTGTTGCCCCCAAACCCCTATTTTAAATTCAGCAGAATTAATCTGTGTTCTGAAGCTAATCACAAAGCCTTTTTTGACTGATGTCTATTGATAAGGAGTTTCCTGGTGCTGCAGTCATGTTCTTTCCATTCTACTGCTGTTCCAAGTAACTTCAGCATGTCCCCACAGACAAATTAGACCTGACTGTTTTCCACTTGGCCAGTGTCTCACTTTGCTGATTTGATATTCTTCAATGGACTCAGTGATAGTTGTGCTGTTGGTTTGTAATTCATCCCTGTTGTTGATGCAGTGCAGGAATGTTGTGTTTGTTGCCTTGTGGTACTTAGATTGTGCTGAGGGATATTAAGGTGAATTTATTATTAGTGGTTTTATTTTTACCCTTTATTACCCCAGTCCAAAATAATTGTTCATGTGAAGGATGGTGTGTGTCATCATGGCCATTTTGGAAGAAATTATATCTTACTGATTTGGGCAGCACATCTACATAGAATATTTTGTGCTCTTCCTGTTCCTTCTCTTCTTCCAGACCTGTCTCTTACCAGACAGGACTTTTCTCAGCTGGTGCTTTGCTTCTGAGATTGATTCTCAGCTGTTCTCATTATTGCAGTTTCCTCTAAAACGTGTGCAATGACTTCTGGTTTCTTTCAGTTGGCCAAGTCCAGCGCTGAAGGCAAGATTCCAGTCCCAATCCGTGGCTGCTGGCTTTCCAAACGCTTCAGTGTATCCTAGTTCGGGAAGAAACAGTCCCGTCGCGGGCAGTCCGGGGAAGCAGGGCGGCGCTGCCTCCTTCCCCCCGGAGCCCGGCAGCCCTGGGCGCTACAGCCCCGCCTGCGTCCTGCGCTACCTTGCAGAGCCTCCTGCCCACTAGAATGCAGCTCCTCATCCTGGGACTTCAGTTCTCATTGTTAGTGGAGGAAAAACTACAATGTTACTAAGGTGACATGAGGTTTGTACTCAGCTATTTATTTTTCCTCAGTTGAGGACAACTGTATGTTTAAACAATGGAATATATGTCTTAATGCCACATACGAGGTAGATTGTTACTGGTGATAAGCAAGAAGTTTGTGACAGTGCAGTTGTCCAGTAGCTGAATTAACCCTTGTTGCCAGTACCACAGTGGGCTGAACTGTCCTTAGCAATGGTGGTAATTGCTATCACTACTTAACCTCATTGTAATGAACACACAGCCCTCAACTGCCTTTCTTGACCTTGGAGAGTTGAGGAAATGCAGCATCAGCAAGTAGAATGTGTGAGAGGAGATTGATGGCAGAAAGTGAAACGCTCTCCTGCTTGCAGGGGGAAAAGCCTAAAACATGCCTGGGAATGCAAGGACAACTTTGCAGTGTGGAGCAGGGATGTGAAGCCCTGTGCAGAAGCAGAGAGTGTTTCCAGCCAGCTGGGCTGGGCAGTTGATACCCACACCCACCCTCACCTGTCTGTCCGTGTGTGTGTGCACAGATTTGCACAGAGACCCTCGAGTCTCTGCTTGTTCTGAGGCTGTTACAGACACTGACATCTACTGAGTGCTTTAGAAACAGGGCACTGTAGAAACTGTTGGGATTCCTTTAGTGGTAGTGGGAAGATATAAGGAAAAGAAAACCTTAAAAATTAGCTGGTTATTTTTTCCCCAGAGAAGCTATTAACACTAGCAGATTTGAATAGTTATTACACAAAAGCACATCAGCAATAATCTCAGCAAATTTACCAGCAAGATACCTTATCTTAATGGTCTGGTTTGTAATATATTAGCATGGTAGCCAGTGGCCCAGGAGGTGGCTATTTCCCAGCTGTAAAGAGAGAGGACTAAGGACAAAATATTTTTATGAAATCTGAGCTTTTACTGTGTCTCTAGTGTTGATGTGGTAATGAGTTTTTGTTACAGCAGTCAATAATTTTATTCTGCAGCCTTCTGTAAGAATGACTTGTTGTGACAGCGTGATGCTGAGAATAAGAAAGCTTTTCAAAACTCCAGAGAGTTTTCCATATCAAGCCTAGTGCTTGTAATGTTGCATGAAAGGCTTCCAGAAACAGCTCTCTAGGTTAAAAAAAAAAAAAAAAAGAAAAAAAAAAAAGAAAAAAAGACCTGTCTACTAACTGTGTTTAAATCTGATCGAAAATGAAGTTCTGCAGGGCTGTGCTGGTGAGAAGGGAGGGAGTGGGCTGGGCTGGTGCCACGCAGTCAGGGAGAGCTCGGAGCCACCTGGCAGGGCTGGAGGAGAAGGGCTCCGAGCTGACAAAGCCCGCGGGGGGCAGGAGGGGCCGGCCCGGCCTCCCCCAGGCTCCCACCCTCCGGGGCCATTCCCGAGCCCGGGCTGCTCCCAGGCACTGACTGTTCTACACACTGTGCACCCTCGCAGCTTCGAGATTGGTACAGACCTAAACACTGCACTTAATGCTTTTGCAAGCTCAGTAGTGCCTTTTGTAATATATTTTTTAAATTAAATTTTTTGTTCTTTTAGAAGTTTTTTTAAAAAAAAGTGGCATCCACTTACTATGGGCAGATAAAATACAGTTTTCCTCTGGGCTTTCTGAACAGGATGTCTTTTAATGTCTCTAAGTTGGATTATTTGGTGCGATAGCTCTCCACGGGGGGAGAGACTCCTCTTTTAGAAATTATTCTTTAAAAAAGGCTTATTTTGCTCTCTTCTTAAAATCAAACTTAGTTCCATGGAGCTGGACATTAGGAAGAGCTACTTTTCATAAATTCCTCTCATTCAGTCATATTCCAGACAAGTACCAGGGGCCTGGGGGGTGTCATACTTTAGGAAACATGTTGGAAAAAAAACCCAGAACCAAAAACATAACCTTCTGTTACTAAGTATATTAACGCTGACTCTTTTCATAAGTTTTTTTTTTTTTTTTTACATTTTCTATTTTTATGTAGCAGGCTCCATGGTCTCAAAATATTTTCAGATCCCACATACATACAATTTTACTCCAAAAGGTTTTGAGATTGGTTTTTTTGCTGGGTGGTAGGGTTTTTCAATAATATAATGTAAGTTATGTCTTTATCATTCTGGAGAAATTGATCAGCTGATGTAATTGCCTAAGACCATGTTAGAGCCAAGCTGCTGGGGTAAGTTGCTGTTCTCCACCCTGGTCCTTCAGAGCGGTGGTACAGCAGCGTTGCCTTTTTGCTAAGAGTTTGTTACTGAGCCAGAAGACTGACTAACATTCTTGTTCATTGTCCTTTTTACTTTTATTATGCTTTGCTTTATTTTTTTTAATATTTAAATGTTACTGGTGTGTACATGTAGCCAGACACCACCCACACCCACCCACACACCCACCACACCCTTGCCTTTCACTTTGTAATGTTGTTTTGGTTCAGTCAGGAGAGTATTTTTTTAACTGTGTTATATAATGTGCATTAGTCCAGCTGTACTTCACTTAAGAGGTCATTTTTCTAACAATGTGTTACTTCAGCTATGACAGAAATAGCAATTTATGCAGCAATTTGATAATCTGTGATTTTGTGAAGAAAGCCCTTCAACACTGAGCCTGTGGAGACACTTTAAATCAGAGTGATAGTGCTTGAATTGTGTTTTCTTGGCCAAAAGTTCACTTTTAAAGGTGCAAAATAGCTGTGTTTTTTGTTGGTTGTTTTTTAATTAGCAACGTGTCATGTTAAAAATACAGAAGTACCCCACTTTCTATTAAAATCAAATGAATAGATGAAAGTGTCACCCTGTGTTCAATATGGGATGTGGGGAGAAGGAGCTGGGCATGACAGGGCAACCCCCTGGCTTGTCCAGGCCTTGCTTGTACAATAGCTGCAGCTTTTGTGCGTGTGCAGTGACAATGGACCACACCACCAAGACTCAAGACGGTGTTGAAGAGACAAGAACTCAGACAGTGGTAAAAAAGACATAATTTTGAATTTCACACTTTCCACCCCCACCTTGAGTGTCACCAAAACTATTGTTCATTTCTGTACCTGTGCTAAGAGGTGTTGTGTCCTCTGGTTGCCCACCAAGAGCTCCTTCACTGACACAGGGGATGTAGAAGGGGATGTGTGTGAGAGGGTCCATGTGCACACACACAACACTAAAAATCACAGAATTTTCATCTTACAGGTGCTGGTGCTCCTGTTCCTCGTGGTGGTGACACAGTCCTGCAAATGGCTGTGCTTAGGCTACAGCAGTTCCTCTCTTGGCCAGCTCTGTGGCTGATGACAATTAACTGCTCTGGCTCCCACCTCCAGTTTACATTTCAGGTGGTTGTGAAAGAGCTGTTGCCCTGAGCAGTGTGGGACACCAGGTGACACTGCAGTGACACCAGGTCCTGCACTGGCAGTCCCTGCAGAGCTCCAGCCACACTTGCTACAGCTGCTCATGCAGCCATTCAGCTGAAGAGACAGGAAAGAAAGACAGACCAAGTATTTTATTCAAAACTTTTAAAAAGTTAATAGACAAAAACTGATAAATTACTCTCATTGCATCAATGAGAGATATGTCATGATGGTTTCCTCTTGCCCCCCACACCTTACACTACACAATAATCAGTTTGTTCCCTACCAGTCCCTGTTCCTTGAACTTATCCTGATGTAGCAGCAGTTCAGTATCAAGCCCTTAAATCCTCTTCTCCACAGGCTGTGTGCCCTGATTATGCTTCATACAGCTCTGACAGGAGTAAGTTCAGCATCTCATCAACATCCTTATTGATCAGAGAATCTGCCAAACAAGTTAGTTATGTCTGCTGTCCTACTGTAAACTAAGCCAAGTTTCTACACTGGCTCAGGGTAGCCAGCAAGCTTCAGAATGCTTCTGAGCCCTCCCACGAGCCCAGCAGCATCCGAGCTGTATGAAGCTGTATTCTGCCCAACGCTGTCCTACACACTCACCCTAGACAAGCTGCCCCATGGCCACCTGCTCACCATCCTGGCAACAGCAGTTTGCTCCAGGGCTGCAGCACCTCTGACCTGCAGCATCACTACCCTGAACCCACTGGTGGTATTGCTCTACTCTGAAAGTAAGGTATCAACAAATACAAATCAATGGGAAAGAGCACTCAAAAATATGTCAGGAACTGAAAGCACTTGGAGAAGATTGCTGTTTTCCTTTCCTCCCATCTTATTGCTACAGTCTCATCCCTGCAGCCTTCTCCAGACCACGTTTTGGTTAAAGGCTTTACAAGACAGAAAAATGTTCTTAAGAACATCTTAAAGGACATCCTGAGGATGGTGGAACACTTAATATAAGCAGCAGTTAGTTCTAGCACCACAGCTCTGAGGCAAATGGTTTTTTTACCCTCTTTCCTTTATGCTCATAACCTCCAGGCACAGTTTACATGGGCTTTTTGGGGGCAGAAGGGAACAATGACACAACACCAACATACACACTCAACAGCTTACAAAAACTGAAGCTTTATCCCTTTGTCCTTTGGACAGCAGAATTCCCTGTTTGTCACTTCTGCAGGAGCTGAAAGAAGCTGGCTCACCTTTTGTTTTAGCTGCAGTGTGATACAAGGCTGTTCCCACACCAATCGCTTTCCTGCACAAGAAAAATACCCACAGGAGCAAGCTTTGGTTAGAGACATTCACAGCGGGGTAAGGGAAAAGTCAGTGCTCTTGCAACTGCTGAGCAGACATTCAGCCTGTATTCCACAGCTCAGCTTTGAGTTTTGGGAAATTCTTAAGGACTGGACATGTTCAGGCTTACAAAGGTTTCTTCTTTTCTGGACTGAAAGGCAGACATGAATATGAAGGAGGAATGGGGCTAAAGGACATTTGAAGACAGCATCACACCCCAACATAATAAAAACCTAGTGGTACTGTAGCAGAATGTGCTAGTGCAAAGAGACTAGAGGCAGCTCCTGGACAGCATCCCTCCATTTGGCTCACTCAGGTGCGTGTGATTTTGTCTGGAGGCATGAAACCTGTGTCACCCAGTGTTCGAAGGGCCACTCTGCCGTTGGGACGTATCACCAAGTGAGTGATGCTGCCGTTGTTGAGAGACAGTCGCAGCCAACCTTCTGGGGGGAACTGCAGTGCTCTGGTGACAAAAACACACGTATTAATTAATGAACAGTTAGATTAGCAAGCCCTCACAGCATCACCTTCTGTCCCAGATGAGGGGGAGGAGGGGGAAACTCAAAATGGGTGGGCATTGTGCAGCTTGCACACCAATGCCCCCAGTCAGCCTTGGAAAAAAGCCTTTTCTTGTGGAAATGCTATAAAACCACAGCTTTGGTAGCTGGACCAGAGCCAAGAGTGGCCTTGGTTAAGCAGAGTCCAGCAGATGGGTGTGATTACTGCTGACAGGATTAGTGCAAGTGGACAGAAGGCAGCAGCTCCAGCAGTGAGGCTGCCAGGAGTGCTCTGAGCAGCCCCAGCACAGCCCAGCGAGGCTGCAGCACCACAACACCTGCACAGGTGGGACAGGCAGAGCTGGCTCAGCACCCAAGGGCTGCCTGAGCACAGAGGACCTGGATGTGGCAGTGGCTGTCACACTCCCATTGCAGCCACACCCCCACAGCAAAGGCAGCCACACAGGATTCCTTCCAGTGGCCTGCACTAGGGAAGAAATTCACTGGAACTACGTTCCACTGGCTACATCATTTCCCAGGTAGGACAAGTACCTTGTGCCTTCCACAGAAACAGCATCTGCAGCCATTCTGAATTTCCTAACTCAACAGCCTCAGCAGCTCCATCAATTGTATTGAACAGCTGGAAAAAATACCATGTTGCCTTAAACAGCTTTTGCCTCTGATACTGAGGAATAACTTGGTTTTGGCACTTAGGACAGTCTTGTAGAAAGCCCAAAAAATTAAATACCAGCTACAGCCAAGCTAGATTTGAAGGAAATGTTACATGGATTGTGTTTAATTGTACTATCAGATTGCCTGGAATTGAAGGCATAGAAGAGACATTAAAATGAAGAAGAAGGCAACAGCAAAGAGAAAAGGTATGTAAGTATTTCAGATAAATCCTTGGCAGGAACAACATGGTATTTTTTAGCACAGGAAAGAACAGCCTGTTTACCTGATCAATAATTTCAAGTATAGCAATTTTGAAAAACTCTAAAGCAGCCCACAGAGCAGACAGACCAGCATTTACCTAGCTCAGCTAAATAAAGCTAACTGAAACTGTTGCAGGTATTGATCAGATTAAAGTTTAATCACATCTGTCCTGCTCACGACAAATTATCTTACAGACAGTGCTTTGCTGATGGAGAAGAGGAATAAAATAGACTCTGCTGACTGAATACAGAGACAGGCAAAGATCCAGAACTGTTTTCTCCCTTATGAACAATCTTGATGTTATCAGAAAGATCCACTCTTAATCCAATACTGGATGGTACTGCAAAAACACACTAATGCAACTTCAACATAACTCAAAAAATATCCATCAGTAAAGAATTCCCAAAACAGAATCAATTTTTAATTATGTAAGCTCAAATTCATCTCACCTCAAAGATATGCACCCAGTAATGCATCTATTTGTAATCTTTTCTAACAGGCACTACCCTCAGGTTTATGGAAGCAGAAGCACATAGTAATTAAAGTAACTGTGCAGATGTCCAAAAAGGTTTAAGTTTCCCTGACTTAGCCATTTTTGCTTTAGAATTAGAATGAAAGTGTTCTAATTATCAAATGTACCTTGATAAAGTTGCAGAAGCAGCTGCTCACAATGCAGGCACTGATCTCCAGCCACTTACAAGAAGTGAAATCAACACATGTCCTCCCTCAGCGGTGGCCCGAGGCAGCCCTGTTTGGGTGAGCCCTCCCTGGAGCAGCCCCAGGCGGGCAGGGCAGCCCGCCCGTACCTGCAGACGATGTAGCGGATGACGTTGGCGTGGCACACGAAGATCTCGTAGCTGTCCTCCTCCTGCTTGGCATCAGCTCTATGAATGAAGTTTCGAAAAGCAGCCTCAATCCGAGCTCCATCTTCGTAATACTGCTGAGGGCACGAGGTCACAGTTACACACAGCTCGGAGCAGCACCGCCTGCTTGCCCGGGGGCATCTCCTCAGGAGCTCCTGGCTGCACACCTGGGGCTCAGCTAATGCTCAAGGACTGCAGCTTATTTTAACCGTTCTGCACACTTACTGAGGAGGAGGAAAGAATGCAATTATCTAAGGGCTCTGATAGCAAACACCAGCTCAGACACTGCAAGTTATTGCTACTGTCCATACAGAGTATACTGAAAAAAAACCCAAACCATAAATTTAAAAAAAAAAAAAAACTTAAAATAAAAACTTACCACAGCCCCAAACCATAAATTAAAAAAAAACTTAAAATAAAAACTTACCACAGCTTCTGGTTTCCAGTGGGAGACTGGTGGGTCTGGTTCTATAGGTGCTCCCTCTCTCAGCAGATCAGTACTGATTTTTTTGACTCCTGAAATATTAGATACACATTCAGAAACAAGTTGTTCATGTCCCATTACAAACAGCCCCACAACTCTACATTCAATACATTTTCACAGTCTTTCTTTGAGGAAGGCTTACTCTCCAACTAAAGTCCATTTTAGTCGACACACTTCTGTCAAGGGATGTGAATCTCTCCAAGAAAACTGTTTTGCCATCAGCAAAACAAATTATTCCAACTGAACAGAATGGCCTGTCTGTTACACTTTGAAAAAGTGTATTTGTACTTTTAAAGATAAACTGGAAACAAGAAGAATTACAGCTGTAGGTTTCTTTATAAATACAGACTTTCACACAGGGCTAGGAAATGGCTAAATAACATCTCATCCTTAAGGACAAGCTTAGAATTCTACTGGAAGCAGTTTTAAGGATCAGAAGACAATTAAAAATTAAGGGAAGTCTCTTACCTGGGAGATGTTTGCTTATAATTTCAGTTGTTTCAGTTGCTCTAGTCATGGAGGAGTGGATAATCTGATCAAATTTTATTCCCAAACTTGCCAGCCTGTGTCCAGTCAGTTCAGCCTGCTCTCGACCTTAAAAAGCACATTCATTACAGAAATTGGTGACACTCCCGTTAGAACCTCACACAAACTACCAAGAGAGTTGTCCAGCAGACACAAAAGATCTACATCCATGCTGGGCTTTTTCCTTTCAAAAAGCAACTGGAAAACACTCTCATCAGAGCCACTACTCAGGCCAAGCTTACTGGTTGGACAATTTAAAGTCATACTTGCATCAGCAGGAAAAAAATTCTTTCTTTCAAGTAGAAAAAAATAACAAAAACCAAAACTTACTCAGCAACTTTCACTGAAGTACTCAATATCCCTGCTAGCCCCATCCCCAGGAAGCAACAATCCCCCTCAGGCCTGACAGTGTGTTGTTGTTCATAAAGGCAACATCAGCTTGGCACAGTTCACAGCACCTGGGCAGCCTCAGGAAGGTTCAGCCCACCTTTCAGGCAGGCAGGTAAGAAGACAACAGACAGGTTAAGTCACTTACTTAAGGCACAGGATGAGACAGGATTAACATTATGCTTTGTTACCAGTTTAAGACAGCCCTTGAGGCCTGCAACTAGCATTTCACTCCTGTTTGCACACCAGTAACTGAGATGTGGGTGGGAAAAAAGTCCACAGTAGTAATTCTTCCTCCTCTGAAAACAGTGTTGGCAAATATATAATCAAGGAAGTGTTCACTGCTTTTCAAGTACATTATTAAAAGTAATACTAATTAGAATCTGAGACCTAGTCACAGGATCAGTGAATTAAGATTAACACAGACAAAGGTTATGCTCATTTCATTTAAGTGATTAGCAGTATACTCCCAGAAACAGTGACAGCAGCAAAAGTGCAATGCATTTAATTATAAACACTCCAGCTGAAAGTCAGAGGCATTTTCTTTTTAATAAATCAGCAGATTAAATTAAGAGAAACACAAGGAAAATCCATCTCAATGAAGTTTAAAAGCCACAGCCCTTAGGAATTACATCAGCTGCCATGAAAGTTTGCTAAAGCAACCTTAAGATAATTTGGAGCTTCCTTTGACAAGTTTCTTTACAACTGAGCGTGTTTAGAACTCTCTAAATCACATCTTAATGTTTGGATCAATACTGAAGAAAACACACTTATTTATGACATCTTACTGCCACACAAGAATACAGCAAGTAGATTAAGGTTTGGCAGCAAGACCCAGTGCTGAGTTGCTGACTGTACTCATCAGGTAAAAAATCATTTCCTCAAAATGCAAAGCACGATGCTGCTAGTGATACCTACCCAGTGGGGTCAGAGTTCTGTCCTTATCAGCCCGGCCATCCAAATGGTACTGGGAATGACGGATCAGGAATATGTGCCTGGTGGCTTTGGCTTTGCAGTGATCCAAGCGAGAGGCAAGCTCCTCTTCCCCAGTTTCTTCATTTTTCTTTTTGAGGTTGATAAGAGCCAGTGGTTCACGTCTAAACAAACACATTTAGAGTTGTTTTTAGATAGAGGAGACTGAGAGGCAGGGGAAATTTACAGATATATAGTCTTGCAATTCCAGACATAGTGGAAAAACTAAAACTGACAGTTTAGCCACTTGTATAATGAAACTGATTCAAACCTTTGTATGAAAAGTAAAATAAATGCCTGCATGAAAAAGAAGGTAATGTAATGGGTTAAAAGATGTAACTTGACATAAGTAAATCTGCCACGTAGTGCCAGCCACCTGAATTAATTCTTAGGGAAAAAAAAGCAGTGAGCAACAGAAAAACTTGTAGGGTGCAACAGTAGGGTTTTTGACAAGAAAAACTAACCAGGAAGGATACCCAGGAAAAGAGGAAAAGGTGTTGGCTGACCATTAAAGAAAGAAAATGCTTTGTATCTAAAAGGCCCTGTGATAACACCTACAAAGTTTGCACTTTATCAATCCCATTTACATCAAATGACTAAAAAATCACCCCCACAATAACATCCTAGAAAGTGCACCCCCCCAACAACATCCTTCTGCAGTGCACATTGAGAATTATTTTCTGCTTTAAACTAGGTCACATCAGTTCTTTTCAGTAAAACTTTTTATTTTTCAGCCTGGAGTATTTTATTTATCCTTTCATCTTTTCAGCACTCTCTCTCTCCCCTCATGCCACTTTAATCTCTCTTCCATTTGTCACAGTGCACACGAGCACCCTGCTCTGCACATCACCCAGACAGCTGACCTGGCTCCTCCTGAGGACACGGGATCTCCCCCTCTCTCTGCTAGCACAGGTTTAGTGCTACAGATCTCCCACCTCCAGCACCAACCCTGCCCAAACATTCCCACGTTAGTCTGGGCCCCTCTCTGCACTGATCCTCCACCCCATTAATGCAAATCCTTTCCTATGTCACTCCACCTCAGACTGTATTTTATTCAAACCACACCTCACTTCTTCCAGTATTAAACTTGCTTATTTTATGATAGGTTTTTTTTAATGGAAAATAATTTTTATTTGGTTTGGAACAAAGTTATTTGTTCACAGAAAATTGCTATTTCCCACACCTGTTTCTCACAGCAAGACTGGTTGTGCAAAGCCCTCCTGCCTCCATTTTGCTTTACTGAACACATGATTTCCATTAGACAATGAGGCTCTAAACATTCCTCAAGCTGTTAATTCCTCAGCAAGGCATTAAAAATGAAAGAACAGGCCAGTAACAAGAAGTTCTATTGCTACTTTACAGGATACTTTTGATTCACTGGAAACTATACTGCTGGCAAGATACAATAGGAAAACAAAAAAATCTTTAAAATCAATTCAAGCACATTAGTAAAGCAGCAAAGGGAATAACTCATCTGATATCTGCCATTAATTATTCCACATGAATGAAACTAGATCTGTCTTCTCCAAGAACTGAGCTGCACAATTCCTCTGCAAGTGGCAGAGACCAAGATTCCAACCGTGATACCCTGTAAGACCAATAACAAGTTTGATATTTGCATTTGTTTGTTCCAACTTGAAAAGCCAATGGTTGTTAAGAATACTGTAGTATCTAGTTATCTGCTCAAGACTTGACTTTCTAAACATTCCAGATGGTGGTCAGATATTCTGTGTATTTATAAACCATTTAACTACTTTGCACATTAACTGCTTCTGCCAATAACATCCAAAAATCAAAATCAAGATTTCAAGCAGGCACAACCTAAGCCCCAACTGGTAGACTACAAGCAGCAGAAAACAAATTGATCTGGGGTAATATATTCCACTGTTTGCACAGTGAGGAATGGTGGTTGGCTATCCTGAACTGCCAGGAGGTATTATCTGGCCACGTTTGCTCAGGCAGTGGTGACAGCTCTGCAACCTAAAGAACAATCTCTACTTCCTGGATTGGTTTAAAAAAAATTACTTGAGTCTAAAATTACTGTAGAATCCTTGAAGAAAATCAACCATTTAGCAGAACCAGGAAGGCCTGGAGCTGCAGTTAAACAAGCAGCTTTAGTACCTCCCTCAGTATAATTGTGTAACCAGCTGTAACCTTATTTAATGAAGGTATTATTTTTATCACTGGGGTGTACATAGCCCTATTTACATGAGCATTTGATCCTGTAGCCTCTGAAAAATCAAAATGATGTATTATACAATAAAAATCTGTTAGCGCTTAGGTTTGGATTTACTACGATTAAACTGGAGCCTGACAAAAGTCTCCCCTGGGAGATAATTCTACCAGACCGAAGCCAAATGAGCCAAAGCTATCTGCACGTTCTAATTAAAGATTCAGAAAAAATGTAGTCAGCCCTTGTGTGAATGTGTTTCAAGGCTGAAGAACACGAGCGAGCCGGGTTCAAAGCTGCCTTCACAGGGATCGAAGCCCGGGCAGCTCCGCGGGCAGCAGGCCCAGCGCCGGGCACCCACAGGGAGCTGCTGCCGAGCTGAAAAACCCTGCTGCAGACACACAGCAACAGCCAGGCACGGCTGAACATAAATAAAAGGGCACGCTTCTGCTCAGCGCTTACATTTATCACGAGCCTGAGGCTTGGCAGTCTCGCTGGCGGAAAGCATCAGAATAAAGGGATCTGCACAGGGTAAGTCTCCGAGCTGTCTGAACAAAACCCAGCGCTGGCACATCCCACCAGAGCTCCAGCGCTCCACGGGTGTTCACGAACTTCAGCTGGATTCTGCTCTGAGCAGGTCACCACAGGGAATTTCACGGGCAAACGAGTCCCGTCGAGCCGGGGGCTGCTCCCGCGGGGACCCCGGACCTCCCGATCCCCGAGGGGCCCTGCCCGCCCCGAGCCCGCTGCCCCACGGGGCTCCGGAGAGGGGTTCAGGGCAGCTCCCGCCGCCCCCCGGATCCCCCCGGCCCCTCACCACAGCCGCGACCTCCCCCGGCGAGGAGGCGGCCCCGCCGCCGCAGCCCGGCCGCGCCCACCTGTCCCAGTTGCTGTCCCAGTAGCTGCCGCTGCCGGCGGGTCTCTCGATCCAGCCGGCGGTCGGCGGGCAGGAGGCGGTGGGCGGCAGCAGCAGCAAGCCGGGCGGCGCTGCGGAGGGCACGGAGGAGCCCCCCGGGCGCGGCTCGCTATCGCCACCGCTGCGGGCCGGCTGCTTGCCCACGACGACGGCGGAGAGCAGGACGGAGCCGCCCGCCAGCCCGCAGGCGGCGAGCGCCAGGGCGCGGCGGACCGACATGGCGGGGCGGCCGCGTGCCCCTCACCGGCGAGCCCGCCCCGCTCTGCTCCGCCCCGGACGGAGCGCAGTGCGGGGCAAGATTCCTCCGCGAACGGGGAGCACGGGGCTGCACGGAGCCCGCCGACCCCCGGCCCTCACAGAGCCTCACGGGCCCGGCCCGGCCCCTCTCCCCCAGCCGCGGTGCCCGCGGAGCTGCGCCCGCCTCAGGCCGGGCTCAGGGGCCGGTCCTGCCCGGCCTCTCCCAAACCGGTTTCCACCCCGGGCGGATCACCGTGTAGGGCTCGGCAGGGAATCCCGCCAGCCCTGCCTGGTTTAATTGCCTGATGCCGTGATCAGTCCTTCAGGGTGGAAAAGACCTGTACCCGGCACTGCCGAGTCCGTCATATTTAATTATAATCCCTGAGCCTTATCACTGTGTCCTCAGTACAACAAAGACCAGGAGTGCTGGAGAGGGTCCAGCAGAGGCCGCAAGGCTGATGAGGGGTCTGGAGCATCTCTTATGAGGGCAGGCTGTGGGAGCTGGGCCTGTCTAGTCTGAAGAGAAGAAGACTCTTTTTCACTGGTGCCCAGTGACGGGATAAGGCCTTAAACTGGAACACAAAAAGTTTCCTCAACATGAGGAAGAATTACTTTACGCCGAGGGTGGCAGAGCACTGGGACAGCTGCCCAGGGAGGTCGTGGGGTCTCCTTCTGTGGAGACATTCCAAACGCACCTGGATGCGTTCCTGTGTCCCCTGTTCTCGGTGACCCTGCTTTGGCTGGGGGGTGGGACTGGATGATCTCCAGAGGTCCCTTCCAACCCCACCGATTCTGTGATTCTGTCATACTGGAGCACTGGGTCCCTGGCACTGGAAACCAGGAACCTGCGTTTTGGGAAACAAAAGCGGTTACCAGCCCGGTGGACTCAGCAGAGCCAAGCTGGACATTCCCGTCCCACCTTTTGTGCCTCTGGCCTGGACGCTGATCCCTGCTTCACATGGAGACTCCCTTCAGAAGCCAGAGCTCATTACAGCTCCCCACATTGCCTTGTGCAGAAGAAAGGCACGGTGGAACTGGAATGTTAATTACCTCATGCTGGAATGTTAATTACCCGTAGATGGCCAGTGGTGCTGTCGTAACATCACAACAGAGCCCTCAGGGAGACAGAATCAGAACAGAGCCCCCTTTTTCTGAGCTGACATCCCAAATTCAGCACTGGTTTCTACCTGTCAGATTCAGTAGTTTGCAAATGGTGACAGAACTGCTGCTGAATGTGGACCTTGGGATGCCAGCAGATTCTACGGATTCCATTATCTAGCCTTTGCTTATTTAATTATGCATTTTTACCACTCCTGTCCACCTGTTCAAGCTCCAACTCCATACGCACATTCCCCACACCACAAATTCTATAATACTATTCCTGCTATTCCACTGGCATGCCAGCTGGGCAGACAGTTTCCAACTGCCAGATTTCAGCCAGTGTGAGTGACTCCAGAGCCACTGAGACCAGAGCCTGTCCCCTGCCGAGCACACAGAGATGTGTGAGCCCAGAGTTAAGGCTCAGGCTCCTGCAGCACCGACACCAGGGCTACGAGGACGCTGTGCCTGCCCAAAAGAAAATGATCTTTCTGTCAAAGTTAAGCCAGTTTCGTTTCCCCAGCGGAGTGTCTTTCCCCTGCCCACCACTCCGTGTCTCTGTCTCACACAGATATGATGCAGAGGAGGCACATCTGACTGGAGCACGGGTCCTTTGGCTCTGGGGCATTTCACAGACCGACAGTGGCTCGCAGGGGTCACATAAGTGAATCAGACCATGATGAAAATCTGCTGCACACCCTCCTTTATCCTTCTTGCTTGCTTATTCTCTGTATTTAAGATACTCAGCTTTCTGTTTCTTCTTATATAGGTTTAAAATGTTAATTATTTTTCTTCAGTTTATCTTATTATATAGGCAGGTGTGTGTATTTATACTGTATATGTTCTTTCTTACCAAGAGCCCAGAAGAAAAAAGTTTGGTTTCAAAACCTCACATCCAATTCCTCCTAAAGCACGGTCCCTTTTCCCCAGGTCTCAGTCTCCCAAAGTCTTACAAATGCTTTCAAAATCTTTTCTCTCATAATGCCTTTTCTCTTTTATCCCTAGCAATACTTATTCTCCATTAAATGCTCCCATTTGTGTCCTACCTATCCTCTCCAGCCTGCCCTCTAACCTGAATCCCATTTGGCCTCCAGCATCTCACAAAAGAAGGAAAACACTGCACTAGACACCACTGCTCACTTGGGTACAGGGACAGGCTGAAGCTGGATTGGACAAGTAAAACTATTCCTGATAAATCTCTCAGTAGCTTGAACTGAATTCTAAAATCATATGGTTCCATTTGAAGTTTCAGTGCTATTCGACCAAGCACCTGCCAGTTGAGGTCAAAATCCCAGTAATAAACACAGGCAAGGTGCTGGAGTGCATGACAGTGTCACCAAATGCACCAGGGCTGAGCTCTGCTCACCACCAGAAAAGTTTCAGACTGTTACTAAGCAATAGTCAAAATTGTTTTCCCAGCACAAAAAAAGTATTGCTGAACATCTGGGCAATCTCATGCTAGAAAATGAAAATGGATAATATTGATTGTTTGCCTCAGTGCTGCATTTTGGCTGTCATTCTTCTGCACTAACACTTCACCATCAGGAATCTCCTGTGCCTTTGCTCCATTCTGCAGTTTATTTTTGCTTGGGTTAGGTACTAATACACTTAGACAATTTGTGTTCAAAAGTCTTTTGAGATTAGATCTTCCTCAGTATGTCTAAAAATGTTATTAATTAGATTATGTTAACCACTTTTTAAAAATTGTAATTCAATTAGATAAAAAAATCTCAAAAAATAATCTGTTGAAGATTACCACTAGCTTGAATATACAGTCCTGTGTTCCATCAATAACTACCCAGCTTCTTGCTCTTTGTTCTTTTTATATGTGTTTATATTGCTGCTATTTTAATCCAGTTTTATTGTGTTGTATTTCATCTGTAAGCAGAAAATCCATCTAAGAGGATAACAACCTGCTGATGCCCACTAATGGAATTATTCTGTTAGTGAAAACAGTAAATGCTTGTGCTACTGATGCCATAGGTCCAATCCTCAGGGATGATTCCCAGGGGCTTATCCCATTTCTGTGGTTTGATGCAGAGATGCCTTCAAGGAGGATGCCCAAGGTTAGGGCAGCCTCTGAACTGTGCTGTGGCCAGAACAAAGAAAAGAGAAGTCAGAAAGCCAGCAGAAGGTTTCAGAAAGGTCAGCACAGGTGGGGCCCAACAAATGGTTTCCCCTGGCAGGCAGAAAAACCCTGTGGCTAAAGCAGGCCCAGCAGCCCTCGGGGTTAACTTCACCAGGAATACAAACAACTCATCCCTGGATGGGACTTGGATCAGCACAGGGATGAGTCAGTGTTTGGATGTTTTACCAACAGCTACAGGGAGAGCAAGGGCAGGTCTCTAGCCTACAACTGGCAAGCAAAGTTTATGAACTTTCAGGTTTGTTTTTTTTTTTAGACAAAACAGAGTAATAAAAGGACATTTGGAACAAGGAAAATGTGGTTTTGAAAAGCCTCTTCCATGACCTCAAAAATTCTTACTCACCATGTATCACCTTCCCACTATTAAAAAAAAAAACCTCAAAAACAAAAAAGTGAAAACTTATTCTTGAAAGAATAACAGAGAGAGGAAAAAAGTTAACATTATGTCATCTGAACCACATGTATTCAGACATACGCTGAGGACTTACTGCTGGCTTTCTTAAAGGAAATATTGATGTCATCCTGGCCTGCTTCAGATCCTGCAACATTTAAATGATACACTAAACTTTTGAGTTATAAAATGATGCTACTTAAGTTCACTTAATTTTGTTTTTATGGAGCAAGAGAGAATACTGGCTTTAAGCAACTCTGGATTATAGCAGTGATTCAGATCTTGAATTTAATCTAGGTAGTGTGAATCACCTACTAGAGGATTCTTCAGATTTCCTTTGACCAGGAAAAAAATGAGAAGCACATTTAAGGTGAAAGACTTGTCCTCTTCCCCAGGCACACTCTCTATAAGCATATTTAAAAGCAGGCTTTGCCTTATCTAAAGCACACAAAGTCTTTATATCATGAATGATTAATCTGTTTCTTAATTTTGCTCTCACAGTCACCATCTTTCTAACTGAAGTAGATTGAAAGAATTCTTTTTAGTAACAGTGGGCTTCACTGGTAAACTGAAATACACCTATAAGGAACTGCTCTTGTTTCCTGGGACTGAATCCTTTTCCCTACTCCTTTAGTAAGGAGTGAGTGAGCCTCTTCAGTACACTGGGACTGAGAATTTAAAAAAAAAATCTCCTTGCAAGGTCTTGTACTTCTTAAACTGTCCCCAAATGGTTGAGACTGCAGTGACAGGACAGTTCTAGGACCAAGGCCAGTCTTCTGTCTATCAGCATGTGAAGCTTTGCCTCTGACAGAAAGCTTAAAAAAAAAAAAAAGAGTTTCTACAGAGGACAAGAATGAAAATGTAGAAAATTCCTTCAGATGTGGGGTATTACCTGCCAGATCTTTGTGTGCTCTAGAACTGCATGGGGTGTGCCTTGAATGCTACAGGGCATTGGAGATTTCTGGAAATGGCTGTCACCCCATCACGTGCAGGGACTGTGTTCCCAGCCTCAGGTGTCTCACAGTTGGTTGCTGACAAGTCCTTCTCAGCACCTTTGCTTTCAGTCATCTGAAGTCAGAAATTTTCACTCTAACAAACGCATTAAGAGTTGCAGATCAAGACACACCAGAAATGTAATTGTAAAGACCTATAAAAAAAGTAATTTCTGAACTGGAAAACCAATTTTATTAACAGTCTCTGGCCCTTTCATTAAGTAAACACCTCAGTTCTGTCCCTGAAGTCACACTCATGAAGCTAAGGGTTTATAACAGCCGTACTAACACTGCATTATCTAACGTAACGCTCTAATAAATGATGATGTATCCTGCCAGAAGGGTTTAATTTGAAACAGATGGTCTAAAGAATGGAAACATAAGCAAAGTATTTCACTGTAATCATTCTCCAG